GTGATTATTTTTATATGCCCTGTGGTCTCAAGAATATGGCCACAGGGATATCAAGGTCACCAAGAATAATTTGGAGGTTGCCAAGGACTTGTTTAAAAGTGCTTGCAAGTGTGACTGAGAACTCTGACATTTAGAAATAATACAAAAATATGAGTGTTAAAAAAAAAAAAGTCGGGGAGGAGATGAGCCAATCAGAGTGCAGTGTAGCAACAATGAAATATACAATTTTCCTCTAGTTCTTAAATGCTTCCTCCCCCCACTACCATGATCCCAATTCTACCTTACATATCCGGCTGTACCGGAGGATGTACACTGGCACAGATAAGAACTGGAAATACAGTGAATCCATGACAGATGAACCCCCCCAGGACCAGTGGAGAGAGTGGTGATAGTGGGAGGGTGGAGGGAGGGTGAGGGAGAAAGGGGGAACAGATGACAGGTCTACATATAACCTCCTCCCTGGGGGACAGACAGTGGAGAAGTGGGTGAGGGAGATGTCGGATGGTGTAAGATATGACAAAATACTAATTTATAAAATATCAAGGGTTCGGGGGAGGAGGGAGTGGAGAGGGAGGGGAAAATGAGGAACTGACACCAAGGGCTGAAGTGGAAAGCAGGTGTTGTGAGAATGATGAAGTCAACACATGTACTAATGTGGCGGACACAAATGATGTATGTACGGATTGTGATGAGTTGTATGAGCCCCTAATAAAATGATTATTTAAAAAAATTTAGTTATGTCTGAGACATATTCATAACTTGGCCTCCTGTATGCTTTACCACATTGATGTATATATTTGCAGCAAAAAGATGCACATTGCAGCCAATTGGCGGACGTACTGCCACTCCCTCCTCACACACTTTCAGCCTGCATGTCTGTCTAACTTTCTACTCTTAGATCACCATTACTGCAGAATTGTTTATGTACTGGCACTTGCCTCTCGTTCCCTTTAACACTGTAAACCTTCCAACGTCTTGTCCTGCCGTGATCTTTTTTTAACCAGCCTCCTTGCTGTTGTGTCATCTTGCCCTTCATTCATTTTAATACCATTGTTAACACCTGTCCACCTGCCACCCTGCGGCTTCTCCAGGTTAATCCGTGTTAGGAAGGGCCTTGCAGAATCCTTGTCATCATGAGTTCTGTGTAGTATTACCAACAATTGCATATATGTAGTAACATTTATTTATCCATTTTCCACCCGTAGGCATTTAGGTTGTTTCTGTCGTTTTCCTATTGTGACTGGTCTGAGATGAACATAGGTATGCAGATATCTATTTGTACCTGGCTCTTATTTCTTTAGGATATATACCAAGTAGAGGAATTGCTGGGTATTTCTGTTCACAACTTTCTAGGAAGCACCAGACAGCTTTCCAGAGTAGTTGTACCGTTTAGTTTACAATCCCACCAGCCATAGATGAGAGTTCCAATCTCACCACACCTTGCCAGCATTTGTTTACTGTTTGTACTTTGCTATCAATACTGCTGTTTTGATTTGTAGCTCTGAATGGCTAGTGATTGAGAGCATTTCTTAGTATATTTGTTGATCATCTGAACGGCTTCTTTGATGAAGTGTCTGTTCATGTACCTCTGTCCATTTTTATTGGGTTATTTGTCTGCTATTTTGAAGTGTCCTGTTAAGGAGATTAGCCCCTTGTCTGATATGTCATTGCCAATTCACACCCATCACCCACCCCACCCTGATCTGTGGGTTCTCTTTTTACTCTTTTGGATGAAGTCTTTTGCTGTGCCCAAGTGTCTTAAATTCTAGGAGGTCCTGATCATCTATTTTGTCTTCTGTATGTTTTAGCATTATGTTTGATAGTTTATTTATGCCACGTATTAAGGCTCTTAAGTTTGTCTCTACTTTCCATTGATCATCTTTGCCATACTAGATCTTACATTTAGGTTCTTGATCCCTCTTGAGTTCGTTTTTGTAAATGGAGTAAACTATGGATTCTGTTTCAGTCTTCTGCACATGGAAGTCCAGTTTTGCCAGTACCGCTTTTTAAAGACTGTCTCTTCCCCATTTCGTGTGGTTGGGCCCTGTGTCAGAGGTCAGTTGTCTGTAAGAGGATAAACTTACTTCTGGTGTCTCAGTTATGTTCCAATGGTCTGTGTACTTGCCAAACTGTTTTCACTAACGTGGCTGGCTGTATAGTAGGTTTTGAGATTGGGAAATGAGAGGCCTCCTACTTTGTTCTTCAGCTGTTCTTTGCTTGCCTGGGGTCTCATTCCTTTTTATAAAATTGATTGGTTTTTCTTTCTCTTTAATGAATGAGGCTGGAATCTGGATCAGGATTACATTGTATCTGTAGATCACTTTGGGTAGTATTGACATTTTCACAGGTCGTCTTTCTACCCACGAACATTTGTAAGTCTCTTGTTTTGTTTGTTTGTTTGTAGTAATGTTTTGTAATGTTCCTTGTACAGGGCTTTTGTTCCTCTGGTTAGCTTGAGCTCATCTTTGAGTGGCTATTGCAATTGGTATTGTTTTCCTGACTTTCTTTTCAGAGCTCTCTTGGTTAGTAAGATGGGATCCTACTTGCTCTTTCATGGTGATCTTGTACCCTGCAACATGACTGTATCTTTCGATTAGTTCCAGTCATTTTCTAACTGAGCCTTTGGGATTTTCTATGTATAGAATTATTTGCAAATAGAGAGTTTTACTACTTTGACGATTTTAATCAGTGGTTCTCAACCTTCTTAATGCCACCACCCTTTAATACAGTTCCTCGTGTTGTGGTGACCCCACCCCAAAACCATAAAAATATTTTAATTGCTATTTCATAACTGTCATTTTGATACTGTTATGAATCAGGCACCCCTGTGAAAGGGTCCTTCGACCCCCAAAGGGGTTACAACTCACAGGTTGAGGACCGCTGGTTTACAGGGTATTTCAAAACCCACCACCATCAAGTCCATTTCAAATCATAGGGACCCTGTAGGTCAAAACAGAACTGCCCCTTTGGGTTTCATAGATTAAATCTTTTTTTCCATTAAGAAACATTATTCAACAACAATAGTGATTATCCAGGTGGATGTCAGCGGATGGAGTACACAAAAATCAAATCTACTACAATTGAGAAAAGGGGGTTGATAGAAGCTCAATATTAGTAGTCAGGACAAGGTTAAGACCTATAGAAGAGACTACCAATCGCTATTTTGCAAGTTTAAGTTGAAACTAAAAATCAGTGCAGTATTTGGTACCCAGACTTTAAATATTCACTGGAGTAGAGAGAGCCTCATCCTCCTCATTTTTCAGAATACTTGGGTCCCTTTAATTTCCCTTTCTTGCCTGATAGCTCTGGCTAAGACTCCCCACACAGTACTGAATCGGAGTGGTGATGAGCGCGTCCTTGTCGGCTTCCCATTCCAAGGGGAATTCTTTCTGTCCCTCTCCATTGAGTGCAATGTGGTCTTGGGCTATATGCCCTTTATTATGTTGAGGAATTTCTCTTCTATTCCTGTTGGTTGAGTGTTTTTATCAGGAATGGGGGTTGGATTTTGTCAAATGCCGTTTCTGTGTCAATTGGTTTTCTTTCCTAACAAAAACCTTTTTGAGTGGAAGATTTCTATAGGTTGGGATCTTTAGAAAAGGCCTCATGTAAGGGGGAGAAATCCTGTACTTCAGTATTCTTTCTAGCCTAGAAAAAGGACATTAGTAACAAAGGCTTGAAGTTAGTGTGAAGTAATTCATGATTAATAGTTGAAAGCATGAATAATGGTGAATATAGAGATCTTGCTAGAGAAAGATTCCATAGTGGGTATATGTTTTAAGTGGGATAAGAGACCTGGATGCAAATAGAAAATGGTATTATTAGTAGTAGATAGCAAGAAATAAGAAACTCCTGGAACTTTGGGGGTTTTGCCTTGATTTCTTTACTAGCACACTGATTTGGTGTATTGAAATAAACCCTGTGACCTAACAGACTGATTATCACAGTTTAAAAGTTCAGGCTTTAATATCAGAAAAGCACTGTTCCAACCATTTTCGTTTTAAACACACAGTTGAGTGACAGCAACTTCAGTGCTAACTCTGACTCAGGAAAGAGATGCTGAACTATAAGCATTAATTGATAAAACCGAGAGATATCTATTCCTAACATTGTTATGCATCAAATCAGACTGTCATTTTCTTAAAAATTCAACTGAACTTCATTGTTAAAATTGCTTGATCAAGTTGAAAATAAGAAAAGGTTTACTTTGTGAAAATGGAGAGTAGGTTCTGTTGTATTCCAGAGTTTGTTGATATAATGGCTTTGTATCTAAAAGACTCGTGTCTTGTTTCACTCTTGGCAGTAATGAAGAGAATACTTTAGGTGTGTTATAAAGAAAAGAGAGTTGGAAAACGTTTTCTCCACTGTGCCATCAGCACTGGAGGACAGTTGTTGACTAGCTATATTATCATGTGAGGTGTATACATAGCTTAATGTGATGGCTTGGACTCAGGTTTACAAAATTTAATTATAGTAGTCCCCTCCCCCTTACCTTCGTTGGCTCTTGAAACTGTGGATAGTACCAAACCCTGTATATATGCATGCACTATATTTTTTTCTATACATACATGGCTATGATGGACTAGGCACTAAGAGACTAATAATAATAAGTAATAATGAAATAGAACTGTTATTAAGTAAGATAAGGGTACCTAAACACACCACGGCGATAGTGTGGTAGCAAATATAGTGTAGAAATACTGGACAAAGGAATGATTCACGTTCTAGGGATGGCTTGTAATTTCACCGCACTACTGCGAAGGGGGCATACTTTGCAGTTTATGATTGTTTATTTCTGGAATTCTCCATTTCTTATTTTGACCAGGAGGACTGCCAGGAACTGAAACTTGAGAAAGTGAAACCAGAGGTAAAAGGGTGACTATGCTTTTTTCCAGCTCACCTGACTGTTTGCCTGCTGGCCGATGGAAGTCTGCTTACACTTGTGCTTAACGTGTCTGTGTGCTTATCAAATAAACTCCCCCTTTTCTCTCCTTTTGTATTAGGGTTCCAGCTGAGTCGGCTTCTGTCTTGTCAGGATCACCAAGTCATAATCAGGTACTAAATTTCAATATATATTCAAGGATTATTGTTTTGCTTTGGTTTTTATATTTATTTAACAGTCTTCTTTTGTAGTGCTTAAATTGCCATTAATTGACAGATATCTGTACACTTTATGGCCTGCCTCCATCACATGACTGCGGGATGCTTAACAACAATCATTTAGATTCCAGACCCCGCCCCATCAGAAATCATCTTTTGTTCACATGATGACTTTAGAGTAACTCCTAGAAGAGCAATGGGGAAAATAGACGATACGTGTTAAGACACGCTAGATGCCTCTCGAGTGAAAGCGGCTTGGGTCAGGGGTAGTTCTGAAGTTGTTGAGACGTCTTGAGGAGCAGATCCGGATCTCCACTGTGTGTGTACAACGATGCTCTTGTCCCAGCTGCCCCTCACCGACATGGAAGCTCACCGGAGAAGAGAACAATTAGAGCGAGCTCGGCGCGAGGCCCAGAGGGCTGCCCTCCAGTACGAGGAGGAGAAATTGAGGACCAAGCAGATTCAGAGAGACGCTGTCTTGGACTTTGTCAAGGTGAGTCACAGGAACCCTCCACAGTTTCCCCTAAAGATAAGTAGAAGTAAGTGCTTATTTGTTTTGATTGGACTGCCAGTTTTTGTTGTCGTAATTAAAATATCAACTCTGATTCATTTTATTTGTCTTTCATTAAAAGGAATTTTGATTAAGTTGTGTGACAGTCTTCTGCTTATGGTTCGATTAATTGCAGAATGACCTGAGGACACTCAGAAGTGATTATCTTGTCCTTAGGATCCAAACCAAACTCACTGCTCTTGAGTCAATGCTGATTGATAGCGACCCTTGTAGGTTTCCAAGACTGTAACTGTTTATGGGAGTAGAAAGCTCAGTCTTTCTCCTGAGGAGCCGCTGGTGGTTTTGAACTGCCGACCGTGCTGATCACAGCCCAAAGTTCCTGAGCCACTTTATGTTTTTCATTTCTCCTGGAGTGTGTAATATTTAACAATGAAATGTTAACTGTTTTCTGAATTATTTTGAATGCACCTATTACTCAGTCCTACTGTGGTGGGTGCTGCCTTCTCTCCCACCACAATGGAACTTATAAATTAATTGTAGGAGAGATTTCAAAGGAAGCGTTGTGAGATCAGCTTTGCACGTAGAGTAGTAAGTGTTAAGTCAATCATCGCAGATGGGTTTGGTCTCAGGAAAATTTTGGAGCTGAACAAGTAGTTTTGATGAGAGTCTGGCATGTTGAAGAGAAGTAAGATTTCCAGTCAGAAGACTAGATCCAAATCTCACAGTACTTAACAACTTTGTGACCTGCACATGCCGAAGAACCGAATTCTTATCCTCAGCCCCCTTATCTTTAAGAGAACATAATTAAAGATAATGTTAATTTATCTCAGAGAGTGAAAATAAGAATTGCTTAGCATACTGTATGCAACAACACTTTATAAAATACTAGCGTGGGGAAAGGAGGCAGCTGGGACGAGAACTTGTGAGCTTGGCTCTTGAATATGTTGCATATGAGGTGGCATCGGAGTGTCCAAATAGAGCATCTCCAAAGTCAGTTGAAAAGTCAGACATGGAATTTTGGTGTAGGAACTGTTAGCAGTGATGCTTGAAATTGTTTTCACTGAGAGAATCTCCGTGGTTAACGTGCTGTGTGTCTTTACACAGAGTTGTCATGTATATTTATAGATGCGTATAGAGCTCTTAAGGAGCGCTGGTCGCATAGTGGTTATGTGTTAAACTGTTAACCGGAAGGTGAGGGGCTGCCCCACAGGAGAAAGATGCGGCACTTCCCACTCCTCTTAGGATTGTCCGTTGTGGAAACCCACGGGGCCAGTTCTCCTCAGTCTTAGCGGGTTGCTATGATTTGGAATCGATTCAGTGGCAGGGAGTTTGGTTTTGGTAATAGACATTGCATTTAATCTGTGTTCGTTTTGTGGCCTTTTCTTATTTAAATTATACAATATTTAAGAGAAGAGGCAGCATCTTTTAACCAATAAATCTAGCAAAGTGTTATATATGAAATGCAGAAATGAATGTGAATTACTAGATAGAATTGACCATTTCTAGTTTTGATAGATAGAATTTGACCATTTTCAATTTTCTAACTAAATTCCTTTGCGGGGTGGGGCATGCTGGGGTATGCAGCAAAAAGCATCACAAAGTCCACAGAAACCGCCCTCTGCAGATGGTGAGGTAAGTCGATACAGTCACTTTTCCTTTGGCATTTTCTTATTGTAATGGGATTGAAGTATTTTACATGTGATTATCCTATATTTATAGTGACCAAAATATTGCCAGGATTTTTCCCCCTTACAAAATTTTACTTATTAAAAAAAAATTCTGTTTATGAGGGAGAAGACAAGTCAGAGAGGTTATCAGAATCTGTCTAACAAGGATCTTTTTCCATGTGCACATCTCCGCCTGGAGTTTGTGCTGTTTCCTCTCCCCGACCCTGGCCATTGCCATCGCCCGTCCCCTGTGTGTTGGGGCGATGTTCCACGTCACTAACATTAGCACTGACAGTCTGCATAGCACTTCACCTTCACAGGCGGTTTTCTCACTGTATATGCACCGATTATGCTTTGAACATGTTTGTCTGATAATATTAAGGAGGAATACATTGTCATATTTCAACTTTTGGTTGTTACTTCCTCTTAAAAGGCATAAAGGCATGACTTTATATAAATTTTGACTCTGTTTTTGTAAAACAATGTAATTGAAAACCTAACACATTAGGAGTTAATAAGCATCTATTTCCAGCTCAGTGTTTTTAAACTGGTATGGGGAAAATGTATTGTTTGAAGGGTTTTAAATAGTTCAGTGTAAAGTTGAAAAATCTTGCTGTATATATAACTGCTTTTATTTATTTAAATGAGAACGTTAACATAGATGTAATACCTAAAAGTTTCGCTCCAGCATTTTCAGATATCTGTCCTTCACATGTTACCTTTTAATTTTTCAATTCTTATTTTGTCTGAAAAGAGCAATGAAGATATGCCTAAACTGGAAATCATTGGACTTAACGGTTCAATTTGTTACATATAAATCACGTGACCACAAAATTCTATCAGTTACTGCTTCATCTGCACTTTAGTTTTCTCTCTGGAAACAAAATAATCCATTCCCGTTCCCTCTTTGCCTCAGGGCTTTTTAGGCAAATAGAATCATATTTGCAGGGACTTAAACTCAAGGGAAGACAGTCATTGCTCAGAGTGAACTTATTAGCCAGTGTGGTACATGAATATCAGATGATGGGGAATGTGGTCCTCTATGTCAGCGTCTTCGCAAGTATGTCTTAAGTGTCGCTTTCCTTGTGTGTGTTTTTGTGAAATGCATCATGTGTGTGCACAGTTTGTTTTTGACATTGCTTCATTTTTTTCCACCTATCCAGTGTCCTTTTCCATCCAGAAGGTCTCAGCACACTGATGATAGTGCCTTGTTAGTGGTAAGAGCGTTGCAAAAAAATAAGAATTTTAACTTGCCTGTATCTAAAGATTGGAAATAGCTGTTGTACTTTTCACATAGAAATGATTTGAATATCATAAGACATGATGAATCTCATGGCTGAGTGTTTTACACATAGTGGTAACTGTTTATGGTTTGCCCAGTGTTACCCTAAGGTTGAAATATGTCAGTGCTTCCAAAAGTAGACCCTTTGATGGAGAATCATATTGGCCGTGAGTGTGCCTTCCTGTTTAATGTTGCTCTGGCTCCAGGTGTACTTCCTTTAGTAGTCATTCATTTGACCTGTGAGTTAGCTGTGTGTCGCCTTACTCTGTGATCCTAATAATGCAGCTCTGTATTTGGTATTCCGTTTTCTTACTTATTTTATGTTACTGAGAATCCCTCATTCTGGCTGACTTTAAGGATTTGTATCTCCAAATTATCACTCCATCCCCACTTTTTAAACTCAGGAATGCATGAGCTGGAATGCTTTCCATTGATAACATTGCTTGCGTCATCAGGTTAAAATGAGTGTAACATGGAGGCATTGTTTAAAGCCTTACGTTTCTCCCCTTGTAAGAGACTCTTGTTTGCAGAATGGCTTTCCTTATCATGTTGAATGTTACGTTTTTCACAGTAGTATTGAACTAGCAGTTCAAATATCTACTGTTTACCAATTGTATAGGTGCTAGTAACTGCTGCTCTTCTGCATAGTCCTGCATGAACTGCATGCTTCAGCATGAGATTCCGGTTACGTGAGCTCCCACTGTCTGCAGGATGCCTGTGCACTCAGCAGCATCACTTCCTTTGAGATGAGTGAAGCAGAGTTTAACTGGGCAGTCTAGAGATGAATATACCACCGCCTGTGCCATTGTAGTGGAGGTTCATTGGCATACGAATCAAATCATAATTTGAACTCAGGCAGAAAAATACTGTTGAGTCTCTGATGATGCAGACACTTTGCCAATATTGCCTTATTCACTCCTCTGAACAGCCTGAAGAGGTAGAAAGTTTCGGAGGCATTTGACAAGTGACGACTCAGGTACCGAATGGCTACATGACAAGGGGACGTAATTAGAAAGGGCAAGACCCAGTTTAAATGTCAGCCTAGCTGCTTGAGAACTGCTCTCTTAAAACTCCCTGCTGTACTGGTTCCTTTCCTGTCACGGAAAACCATTGAGGACACTGAGGGTTAGATGTGGTAACACGAAATACATGATGGACGTCCGAGTGCCCACTTAAGTCCTACCATCTCTCAGCTTACATGCCACAACTCCGAAATGCCTTTCTTTACCCTCCACCCTCACCCAGGCATATTAATGTCTCTACTGTTGTTTCTTCATAGTGCTTTTACTTGCATATGTATTGTTTTTTTTCCTCTGTTAGCTTATTCCTGGACTGTAAACTTCATGGACTCAGGATGTTTTTGGTTGTGTTTACCTGTGTATATCTAGTCTCCCTACCAGACTTCTAGGTGCTCAGTAGTATTTCTTGAGTGAGCATATGTCCAATGCATCTGTCAAATGCTTATTAAATTGGTTCATGATGAAAATGCCTGATGATATAGTTAGATAAATTCTGAATTTGATTTAAATACACCAAAGTGTTAGATTTGAAATATAAGAGGGCCTTAAAAAGTTTGTGGGGAAATTCCGTTATTTGTAATTCGTTTGTTTCCTGTGGACCGCGATTCTGCGCTTCGAAGGGCCTTCCTATTACGAGCATTTACTGTCAGTCACTCTGGCGGCTTCTGGGCTTGCCCTTCAGACTTGCTAACCCCTCCGGCCATGGACAGTGGGGCTCACTGCACCTCTTCTGCCCGGCACTCTTTTTCCTTTGCCATTAGTAGGGATTAGTGCCTTTTTGTGTATGACACAGACAGTAATGCTAGTACTTTTGATTAAGGGCACCCAGGAAATCAAAACAGGTGAAGCAGAAATCGATGGTCCTATTTTCAAAATTTTAAGTGATTTAATTTATGAAGACTTGGTATCTTTTAGATTTTAATAGTTTGGTTTTTTCCACACATCCTGTGTGAAAGTCCTTTTGAGTTCTAGCCCCCACCAAATTTTAATTTTAAGCCCATCTTACCTATAATCAAAATTCTGTAGATTCTAACACTTCATATCTCTTAACTTCTCCTTTGTTCAGTAAATCTGTAACGCTGTGTGTTTGGAAGTGGCCTAAGAAAGAACACTTCCCGAGAGTCACTCGATAGTTCTGTGTTGGTTAGAGAGAATGGCAAGGATTCAGAAAGAAAGGAAATTCGCCTTACCCACTGGAATGTCATCTGGAGCCCCACGGAGGCCGAATGAAAGGCTAGTTTTCAGCTCTTGTCTTCTAACGTCAGAGACATTAAATGGAATGTTCATCGGTCTAACTGGATTCACATTGAGGACACACTTGTATCCATGCTAGTTCTGCTCAGTTAAAATTAGCTCATAGACTGAATTTGTTGTGTTACAGGTAATCCACCCTTCACCCCCACAAATCAGCATAAGATTCATTAGTTTCTAAAACTGTTTTGCAAAAAATACTATGTTCTCTGGTGTTTTGGCGTGAGTGGTAGAAAACCATTCTAAATGAATCATGCCTCATTGCTTGATTGAAGAAGTCTGAGACACTGTGCAAACCTTGCAGTGTGTAAGTGGAAGAACCATGCCCATAAACTTCAGCGTGTCCCCACGTCTTTACTGTCTGCCCTGTCCTATGTCAGTAGACCGTTTGAAAGGTGTCAGAAGCCTTTGCCTTTCTGATTGCACTGACCAGATCTGCCTGCCTGACGTGCTAACATACATGCCGCTTTCTGTTTCCCCTCGTCCTCTTGAAATGTAGTCGCTGTCAGGGCTGAATCAAGTGGGCTGTGCTACTCCTCTGCCTCATGCTTCTGCCTCCCTGCTTCTCAAGGTATCTCCTTAATGTTGTCATTCACCAGGAGATTGGGGCGGGGAGCTATTTGAGGGGGAATCTTAAAATTTCCCGATGGATTGGTGGTCCAACAATTTAAATCTAAGATTACATGAAATGTAATGAACGATCTGAGCTTGTTAACATGGATTTCACTTGAGAATTAGAATATTGACAATTTTAGAATGCTACAGATGGTTATGGAGAGTGAATTCTTTAAAGTCAGATTCTGTTTGAGATGTAATTCTAATTTTCTTTTCCTTTTTGTCATGAGTTAGTATTTCACTTTGGTTAAAATACAATGCCAGATTCACTGTGGTCTAGTGTGCTCTGCAAAAAGAATTTGAGCCCCAGTCACCAAAACTATCGCTGCTGATATAGGGGCCATCTGTTTTGGTAAATAAAGATTAATCGGCACACAGTGACTCCCTTTTTATTTTTAATGTATTAACTGGTTGCTTTCACACTGAAGGGTAGCGTTGGAATAGCTTTCACAGACATCGTATGGCCAACAAGCCCTAAATATCATCTGGCTCTTTAAGGACAAAATGTGCCAACTCCTGCTGTATAGGAAATGAAATCTAACTCCAAAACTTAAGTTGCGCTATTTTCATTATTGAAAGCTTCTAGGGATGGCTGTTAACTTCTGATCAAATAAGTGACAAGTAATCCCTGTTACTAAGGTTGTCCTCCCTCTGTCCTCCTTGAATTTATCCTTTTTTCTTCTTTTTGTTCCAGAGCAGATTTTCTAGTTCTTTAGCGATCTCTACCGCAAATAGAAAAACCTCTATATTTGAAAAGTATTCTGACGTCACCAGTGTCTCCTCTTCTTCAGCCCTGGTCCTTATATGTTTTCCAGCCTGTCAGTCTGACGACCCTCACAGATCCTCAGCTTCCCACTGCAACTTTAGAATCCCAACCTAGATTTACTCAGGGGGGTTCAAAAGTGTATTGAAAAAGTGGAATTAAAAGGTACTGGAATTTTCCACCAGCTTTTTTGAAGCCCCCTGGAACCTGGCTGGTGCTGGACGTGAAGTGGAGGACTCCTCACTGCCTGGTGCCCCACTGGACTTGGCTGGCTTGTTCAGTTTGGGTATTCCTTTTGCTCACTCCCCACTGCACTTTCAATATGCCTGTTAATGCCTAAGAGATCATTCACCTCCATATCTTGTGCTCCGCCCCCGCCCCATATTTAATTTTGCTCTTTGAACAATTTTGCTTCTCCAGTTTACCAGGATAGTTTCAGATTCTTGGATCATGTCCTTCTAAAGGTTGACTACAAATCTTATTACATCTGTAAATAAGCTTCATAAATTTTCTCATGCTCTGCATAGCCATGTGATTCCTGAAAATTCTTATCTATAATCTCTTCTATGCTATCATTTTCTCTGTCCTGCAATTGGGTTCGAAACCACCAGCACTCCATGGGAGAAAGATGGGGCTTTCTACTCCCATAAAGAGTTAATAGTCTCAGCCCCACAGGGGCAGTTCTACTCTGTTCTGTAGGGTTGCTAAGAGAAGGCCTGGACTCGATGGTGGTGAGTTGAGTGAGTCTCCTTTGGTCAATGAATTGAAAATTGAAAATACCTTAGACTGAAATACGAGCTGGGAAACATGCTGTCATCTCCCAAAAAGACCCCTGGTGGTGCATGGGTTAAGTGCCAGGTGGCTATCATAAAGGTTTGCAGTTTTTGAACTCCGCAGCCTCTCTGCAGGGGGAAGGTGGGGCAGTCTGTTTCCCTAAAGGTTTACAGCCTCGGAAACTCTGGGGCAATTCTGCTCTTCTTACAGGCCCTTTCTGAGTCGGAGTGGACAGCACCGTGTTTGTTTTTTAGGGGTCTGTCATCTCTTCAGTCCTTTTTTTCTCCCAATCCAAATGAAGACCCATCTGTAACTGTTTTTCAAAACATTACATTTTTCTCTCCAAAATGATGGGAGGGAGGGGTTGAGAATCAGATACTATGAGGAAACGTGTCCTCTCTTTCCTGTACGTTTCCCAGTAAAAGGTCCTGCTTTAGGACGGTCAGTTTTCACAGTCTATGGAAACACTCTTTGATGATGAAGCTGTCTTTATAGAATGCATTACATAAACCTTGCATCCTATACAGTTAGTTCAAAGGTTTAGCTTTAAGAAAGAAGAAAGTGTTTGAAAAATCATTTTACAGAAGATTCATTCTAGATTCAGTTTTGAAGGAGTGTTGCATTTTTTTGTTTCCCTTTATAATCACAAAGTAATCAGGCATGTGAAAAGTACCTCTTCTTGAGTAAAAATTGACCACATGCCTGTTTCTCTACAGAGTGATGACAGATCTAATGCCTCAGCAAGTTCACCAACAACAGAAACAGGTAACGGGCTTCCAATGCCAGAAGCCATAGGAAACCTAGTAATTCCTCACTAGGATTGGCTGCTTCTTAGATAGTTGCTGCTTTTTCTGAAAAGGGAAATATGATACAAAATTGGGAATTGCACACATTAAAAAATCTTCAAACCAGAGTTAAAAGAGACACAATTAAATGTATTTGTGTAATAAAAATGGGGAAAGTACAGTTACTACAGATGCATGAAATACCTCTGGCAGGACACATAAGGCAAATTGTGTACTTCAAGGAAAAGAAACAAGGTGTTTTACATTGTAATCCATTGAACATTTTTGGAACTTTGTATGTATGCATGCATATTAATTCTAAGGGGGCATTGAATGAAAAAAGCAAGATTTCTTACAAAAATTCTAATTAAACATGCTTGACTGGCCATAAAAAAAATAAAATAAAAATAAAAAAATCTTCAAACCAACTGTTCAGCTACTCATGAAAGTGACGATAGGTTTGTACGAAACTGGTTGGCATTGGTGTTCGTTCTGCCTTATTGATGTGCCCAGTCGACATGACGATGGAAGCAGAACAGCAGCCAGCTTACCTGCTTTCACGCTAGCTTCCTATACCCTCTTTTGCATTAATAAAATGATCAATCGTGACCAGAGTTAATTTGATTTGATTGTTTGCGATTGAACTTGTGTGACAAGCATCCCTGCTATTACATTAAATGTTCTGTGCATTCCCTTCTCTCTCTCTTGGCTCCTCCACGCTGATGTAGTTCATCACTCCCCTGCACATTCCTCTCCTGCTGCTGCTCTCCAGAGAAATCAGGCCCAGCGCCCGGAGAGCTTCCTTTTCCGAGCAGCTGTCAGGGCGGAAACAAGTAAAGGTAAGAAGTAGCTATTAAGGATGCCGTGGGAGGTACAGGTGGTTCCGCTTGACTACTGGCCAAAGAAATGGTTGGTGGTGCAAACCCACCACTGGGTGCCTCAGAGGAAAGGTCTGCGACTCCACTGGAATGGTTCTACTCTGCACACATGGGGTCAGCTCACCAGCAACTCCTCACAACAGGCGTGAGTTAAGAGGCCTCGGAGAGGGCTGACCAGGACATCAGCCCTTACATGCTTTCACGCTGCCAAACTGTCTTCCTTGGCAGACGCTTTGAAACCCATCAGCCACTCTGGGGAAAAGATGAGGCTTTTTGCTCCGGAAAGAATTACAGCCTTGGAAACCCAGAGGGGCAGTTCTTTCTTTGTCCTGTAGTGTCTGTAGATAGGTTCTCAGACATATTTGGCCTCCCATCCCCTTCTCAGAAAAGGAGATATATATATATTCAACGCCCCCTCCCCTGGAATGAACAACTTTTGTACGCTAGCCTGTCCTCCAGGATAAAGTGTAGGGGTTGCTTTTGCAGCCCCTCTGAATTGCTCCAGTGTTTCCCAGGGGGTGGTGTTCCCACTTTGGGAAAGGGTGAGTTTGGTTTTGGTTTGTCTGCGAAACATAGAGCTTATAGCGTATTATTGTTCTAGGTCATGGCTCACCCCTTTTGCCATCTTCTGCACCTGCTACTGATTCTGCAGATTCCATAGCACGGCAGAATCTAAGCCAGCGTGAAGAGGAGCTGGAATTAATAGATCAGCTACGGAAAGTATGCATATTACCTCTGAACCACACCTTTTTACTGAGACTGTGATAGTCTTTAACTTTTTAAGCATGTAGTCATTTGATATTTCATTTTCTTTTTTTTTTATTTAATGTGTTTGATATTTCATTTTCAATAGAATCAACACATGCCCACTGTGGTTTGTGATGAATGTAAGAGAAATTTTGCAAATAAGGAAATTATTTTCAACCTTTTCACTAAGAAACCGATTGAGATGGCTTATTCTATAATTCATCTAATTCATTTAGATGAGGCCTTACTCATCCAAAACGTTGTCTTTCCTTTCTGCTTCATGTTGTAAAGAAGTTGTGTTTATCTTTGTTTATACACACATATCTATCATACTTACACCTACATGTGATTGACTCATTTGGAATTGAAAGAGAATCCAGTGCTTTATCAAAAACTGTTAACTGGATTTCTGCTGTACTTTGCACCACTGTAGCCTGGCTATTTATTGTGTAGGTATATGAGGTCTCCTAAGTTATTGACTTAGGATTGGAAGTTAAAGTACATCTTTTGGCATTTAAGTCATTTGCCTTTTATCTTCCTTTGTAACTAAATAATATCCCATTGTAAACTTAGGCCTTTTATGTAAACCGCTTTGAAATGAACACGTTACATATTTTCCTATTCTTGCAGCATATTGAGTACCGGTTGAAAGTCTCTCTGCCTTGTGATCTTGGAGCAGCTCTGACCGATGGTGTTGTTCTTTGCCATTTGGCCAATCATGTGAGGCCTCGATCTGTCCCAAGCATTCACGTTCCCTCGCCAGCTGTAGTAAGTTCATAGTGCTGTAAAGTGTTTGCCATTTCATCAGACGTGTGTTAAGTACCGTGGCCAGCATACCAGGGAAACGGATATGAATAGAGTGTTAGCCCTGCTAACAGGTGAAAGACTGTAAATTCTATACATTCTAGACCACTGGTTTTCAACCTTCCTAATGCTGCGACCCTTTAATACAGTTCCTCATGTTGTGGTGACTCCCCAACCATAAAATATATTTTCGTTGCTACTTCATAACTGTAAGCAATTGCTCTTTGATTTAAAAAAAAGGAAAGAAGACAACAAATCCATTCCTGAAGCTTTCCCCTTGCTTTGACACTGCGTTCTGCCATATTCAGTGCATCTCACTGTGTTAGTCCAGGTTGACGAAAGAAACAAATCCATACACACTCGTGTGTATAGAGCTTTATATACAAGAGCAATTGAATATTGAGAAAACACCCCAGCCCAGTCCTGATCAAGTCCATAAGTCCGATATTAGCCCATCTGTTTGATACCAATCGATAAATTTCTCTTCAGACTCCTGCAACACATGCAGTGGCACCAACTGCAGGAAGATCACAGGCTAGTGGGTGGAAAGTCTTGTGGATCCAGTGGTAGTGGAAGCATCTTAGTGCTGGCAGGGGTCTCCACGTGGCTCCTTCAGCTCCAGGGCTCTAATGTAGCTCCATGTGTCTTGCCAGCAGGAATGTCTCGCAGGGAGTGAGTCTGTGTCCCACCTCCAGCAAGCTATTTATCTCCATAGTGCCTCCAAATGAGGCTTTCAAGCTGCAACCAGACTGATGGGCTAAACGTCAGACCTTCACTCTTAAGTCTCAGAGTGACAACAGATGATGTAACTACCCTGCTCATGATAGCTGTCTCTCTGTCTCTGTAGTTTAGCTGTGCCATTTGGAAGTTAATAGTTTACCCTTAAATATTTCAGCTTACATATCCTAAAAATAGGGCATTTCCATTTTATTGCAACAATAATAAAGGAAATATCACAGTCATTTTATCATATAATAAGCATTCCATGTCTCATGTCAGCTTTCCTAGAAACAGAGGCTTGTGGAGGCCCTGTGGCATAGCTGTGATCTCTGCGGAAGCAGTTTGCCAGGCTTAGGAGTGGGTTCAAGCCACAAGCCTTAGGATGGCAAGCTGCTTGCATCATGCAGGCTCCTTCAAGGACATTAACTTGGCCTTTAAAAAAATAAACACCTAAAATAAATAAATAAAATAAACACCTAATAAAATGATTAAAAATAAAATAAAAGACAACGGTTTCTTTTATAAATGTTCCCATAACACTTAAGAACAAGTAGACTTACACAGTTGTTTAAAGAGCACTTTTCTTGGTTTATAAACATTCTGTAAAGCTGAGAGACCTATAAATATGTAAGACTTGCATAGATCAGGATGAAGAAATGGACTTTGAGTTTATCAAATGAGAATTACCTAGTATTTTAATGAAAAACAACCTCCCCCCCCAAAATACCCTACTTTCAAATCGGATAGTAGTTATTATGACATAATCAAGATTACTTTAATGGGTGTCTGATAGAGCACTAGACTACAATATAAATACTGACATCTGCCTTTCATTCGTGTGACTGGTACTCCCTCATGTGAGACTGTTCTTTCTACATTTTGTTCTGACGACCCTACCGAGAGTCTTGTGGCAAACTTTCTTAGTAGAATATTTTAGGATAAGAGTATCAATTTAAAGCCAAGTGCACATGAAACCCCACAGCCGTTTCTTTGTGGTTACACTCAACACATAGTAATTTATTGTTGATCTTTGAGAGCTGGCTAATCCGAATTCTAAGTGTAACTTAAAGCATTTTTTCTCTTTTTTAAAATCATTTTATTGGGGGCTCTTCCAGCTCTTACAACAATCCATAAGTCAGTTGTATCAAGCACATTTGTACATATGTTGCCTTAATCATTCTCTAAACATTTTCTTTCGGTTTGAGCCCTTGGTATTAACTCCTCATTTTCCCCTCCTTCCCCCACATTCTCACAAACCGTGATAAATTATGAATTACAATTATCTTCATATCTTGCACTGACTGCTGTCTCCCTTCACCGACATTTCTGTTGTTCTCCCCCTTTTTTGGGTGGGAGGGTAGAGGGGAGGAGGTACGGTTATACGTCGATCATTGTGATCAGTTTTTGTTGTTGTTAAAAGATCATTTTATTGGGGACTCTTACAACTCTTATTGCAATCCATACATCAATTGTATGTATGGATTGATGTATGGATTGTATATTTGTACATGTGTTGCCATCATTCTTTTCTAGACAATTACTTTCCCTTTTTTTAATCATTTTATTGGGGGCTCGTACAACTCTTCTTCTCACAATCCATACACCCATCCATGGTGTCAAGCACATTTGTACATTTGTTGGCCTCATCATGCTCAGAACATTTGCTTTCGACTTGAGCCCCTGGTATCAGCTCCTCATTTTTCCCCTCCCTCCCCCCACTCACCTCCTCTCTCTCTCCCCACTGATAATTTATAAATCATTATTTTTCCATGTCTTACACTGACTGATGTCTAGACAGTTACTTTCTAGTGAGCCCTTGGGTTGAGCTTCCCCCGACCCCCCATGGACCCTTGATAGATTATAAATTATCGTTGTTTCCATGTCTCACACCGACCGCCGTCTCCCTTCCCCCATGGTTTCCGTTGTTCCTCCCCTGGAGGGGTGTGTGGTTGTGTGTCGATCTCTATGATTTGAATGAAAATGATTACTTAGCAACCTCGTTTTCCCTTTTCTCATGACAAGAGTATTCTTAATTCCACTTCTGAAGCAAACCCAGGTATTTATAAGTAGCTTTTCTTTAGAGGAGCCCAGTAGCGTAGTAGGTTACACATTGGACTGCAAACTGAAGAGTCAGCAGTTTGAAACCACCAGCTGGTCTGAGGAAAAAAGACCGATTTCCAACTCCCGTGAAGAGTTACTATCTCAGGAACCTACAAGGGCAGTTCTACTCAGCTTTAAAGAGTCACTATGAGTCAGAATCCACTCAATGGCAGTGAATTTGGTTTGGGGTTTGAGCTTCCACCTGCTGACCATTGTAAAACCTGTAGGATCAATTCAGTCTAAACATCTGCCATCCGTGCCTGGTGCTTGGATTTAATTGGAAATCAGTTAGTTAATTGATCCTATTGAGTTTGTTGATCACTCTGGTATATGGGATTCATATTTCTCCCTTACGTTATGTCCCATGATAACCCACTAGGTAAAAAAGCTTATCACCACACGGCCATTAGAGATTTTTCAGAAAAACAAGCTTACATCCTCTTTTGAAATGAGATGTTTTCATCCAAACTTTTTTTTATTAATAAATCATTTTATTGGGGGCTCTTACAATCCATATATCCATTGTATCAAGCACATGTGTACATATGTTGCCATCATCATCATATCCAAAACATTTTCTTTCTACTTGAGCCCTTGGTATCCTCTTTTTTCCCCTCCCTCCCCCCTTCCCACCCTCGTGAACCCGCGATAATTTATAAATTATTATTATTTTCATATCTTACACCATCCCCTGTCTCCCTTCACCCATGTTTCTGGTGTTCGTCACCCAGTGGCGAGGGTGGTGGTAGGGGCATTAAAACGTCGATCATTGTGTCCAGAGCTCTTGTCTGTCCCAGTGCACGTGGTCCAGTCTAGCTGGATTTGTAAGGTAGAACTGGGGTCATGATAGTGGGGGGAGGGGGTAAGCACTAAAGAACTAGAAGAACGTTGGTTGTTTCATCAGTGCGATCCTCCACCCTGGCTGAGTCATCCCTTCCTTGTGATCCTTCTGTGAGAGGAAGTCCAATTGTCTACAGATGGGCTTTTGGTCTTCATTCCAACTCCCCCCTCGTTTGAATCAAAATAATTGTTTGTTTTGGGTCTTCTGATGCCTGATGACACCTTGTGATCACAGGAGGTTGGTGTGCTTCTTCCATGTGGGCTTTGTTGCTTCCCTGATAAATGGCTGCTTATTTAACTTCAAGTGTTTAAGACCCCAGATGCTTTATCTTGTAATAGGCACCATCAGCTTTCTTCACCACATTCGCTTGTGTACCCATTTTGTCTTCAGCTGTCATGTCGGGAAGATGAGCCTCACTGAATGCCAGGTTATTAGAACAAAGCGTTCTTGCATTGAGGGAGGACTTGAGTAGAGGCCCAATGTCTGTCTGCTACCTTAATACTTAACCTATAACTATGTATACATAGACATATCCCTATCATTATATATAAATATGTTTACATTTACATATGTATGTGCCTATATTTATACCTCCTATAAAAACTAGGAGGTCCTCTGCCTCCTAGTTCTTTGCTTTGCTTCCTTTCACTTTCCTCCTGTCCCTCTATCGTGTTCAACCTTCATTCGGCGCTCAGTAATTCCTCTTGGCTGCATTACACTTGATCAAGCCCCACCCGGCATTCTCCGCCCACCCTGCCATGGATTTTAGGATCTCTTGTTGTTCCCTTGTCCCTGATTTGTTTGTTCCCCACCTCCTTCTCTCCCATGTTCCCCCAGAACTGTCAGTCCCGTTGTTTTCTCCTCAGGAGTTTTTTTCATGCCTATTTATATAGATAGACACGGGGGGTGGGGGTGGGGTAGAAGGCCTATAAATAGTTCCAGGTCTGTCTGTTCACCCTTATGAATGTTTTCTGTCTTCCAAGCTTTTGAAATTTAAATGTATTAAAATTATAAATGTCCCCATTGAAAATACATCTAGTCAATTTAGTAGCAAAACTTTAAAAAATATCTTTTTAAAAGATTAAAAGTAGATGAATTGATTTTCTCTGTGATAAGATTTGAATGATAAGAGGACAGTAATCCGTTTTCTTGCTGACCTTAAAATTTAGTGTGTATTGCTATAAAATGAAGAAATGCTAAAAAGCTGCTCCCTTTCTCCTCTACCTTTCTCTACATACGACTTACCTGCCTTGCAAAATCAAAGCCAAATGTCTAGAGTGAGGATTGGCACACTAGGGTCAGAAGACCAGCCACCTATTTTGTTGAATAAAGTTTTACTGAAACACACTATTCATTTGTTTGCATATTGTCTAGGGCCAACTTTTAACAGCAACGTTGAGTAGTTGCAACAGAGATCATATGAGCTACAAAGCTGTGGTCCTTGAAGGAGAAGTTTATTAACCCCTGATCTTGAGTACTATGATTTGATAAAGCAATTAGAGTATTTAAAATGCTAGCCAAAAGCATTTTAATTTACCAGTAATTTGTTTTTCCTTGTTTCCTTTTCTCATTGCAGCCTAAATTAACAATAGCAAAATGCAGGCGAAATGTGGAAAACTTCCTAGAAGCTTGCAGAAAAATTGGTGTACCTCAGGTAATAATTCTATCATTTTTCATAATGCCCAGATAAACTTGGGGTTATTTTCCTAAAATCTTGCAGGAATGTGAATCTCTAAAACTTTGTTAAACTGGTCAATCAATATACGTTTGAACAATTTTTTCTTAATAATTTCTAAGACCTAAGCTAAACAATCATATCCATGTAAATTTAAATATATTGTAATAAATGCTAAGAAAATAATTTTTAAAAATCTCATCTGTTGACATAATAGCTGAAACAATGGACTCAAATACCCCAGTGATACAGGTGGCATTAGAGCAGGCAGTGTTTGTTCGTTAACATGAGATGGTCGTGAAGCCAACCTGGCAGCGTCCCTAGACATCTCACCACGGTGTATGCCTTGGAACATAAAGACAAAACACCTTCATTTCAGATGGAAAGTTAACCAGTTGTGCACCACAGAGTTCAGATGGAGAATGTTTCTGTTGTATTCAGTTTTTGAACATTTTTACTTAATAATACATTTTGAAAGAAGCTTAGGTTTAACAGAAACATGGCAAAAACAGCACAGAATTCCTGAACACATTTCACTCTGTTTCCCCAAAGTTAATTTATAATTATAGTACAATTATCCCAAGTAAGTAACACTAGAAGAATACTGCGCCTTTGTGGATTTTACCTTTCCCCCCATTAGGTCTCTCTCATACACTTGAGGTGAGCACACCGAGGCCGTCTGTAGACGGTTTCTTGCTATTAGGATCGTTACCTCTGGGCTTCTCAGTTACAGCTCGTTGTCATTTACTAGTATAGATAGTTAAGCAGTACTTGTAAATGGAAGTAGGGAAAAGAACGTGTTACACTTGTAATTCAGTTTCATTGTGAAGCTGTCACCTAAATGCACTTAGTGATCAAACTTGTTGCCACTGGGGCCGTCTCGACGCACAGCGACCTTACAGGATTTCCAACGCTGCAGCTCCTCACAGAGCCCGTCACCTCGTCTTTGCTCTTGGTGAGCGACTGGGGGTTTAGTCACCGCCCTTTTGGTGAACAGTTGGCTGCTTTAACTGCTGTGCCACCAGGGCTCCTCATGGTACTCTTCACGAATACTGTATTTGCTGGCATCCTGTCTAGACCCATTTAAAAGAATAACTTACTGCAAGTTGGTTTTTCTTCACTGTCCACATTGCACATCTGACCTTACTCTGGCCATCCTTCAAGGAGCACAGATTTGACTCTGTAGGCTTCTTAGTGGTTGGAAATCCAAGACGGGGCTCAGGCAATGGTTTCTCACAGAGTTAAGCCCATGGCCCAGAAGTAGTTAACCTCAGGAACTGTCTCTTAACTAGCCAGGCGTTGCAAGAGACAGGAGCATCGTCTCACTGGTCCCCCGCCCCGGAGCCTCTCCCCCAGCTCCTCCCCATGGTAGAGTGACAGCGAGCGCTCAGTCCCACCGGTGGCTGCACCCCTCCACGTGAGAGCATGCTTCTCTTCTGTAGTTAGAGAGCTCACGGGTCTGTTTGTTTCGTGGTGAGTTGACTAGGCTTTTTGTTAACCTGATTTACACAAGAACTGAAATTTACGTCTAGGGGTAGTCAGGAAGAAATCTTTTTATTCTTGGAGACAACTTCAAAGCAAAATTTTCTTTTTATAAATTGCTTGCTAAAATTATTACCACCTTAGTACTAATGCAGTAAAAAAAAAAGCCTAAGAAGCCTAAAGAGTCAAAAAGCAGAGGGTATTAACTAAGATTTCAACAAGCAACATAAATTGTATCCTTATCAGCAAGCCGATCTAAAGGGGAGCACTTTCTCCCCACTCACATCATGATCACAGCGCAGACATGCCCTGAACCTAACCCACAGTGCCTTTGAACAAGAGCATGTGGCGTGGGTTGGGGCAGAGTACAGGAGCCACAGAATTACTAACAGGCCCTGCTTACCTAGAGGAAGAGGCTGGGAAAGGCCCCACAGTAGCAAGGCATGCTAATGGACCGAACCCCGTCGTTGTTCCGTCCCTAGGAGAAAGATGAGGCTGTCTGCTTCCGTAAAGACTACATACAGCCTTGAACCCTCTGCTGCAGGGCCCCTGAGTCAGATCGGACTGCGTGGCAAGCCCCCTCTTTCGGAATGTTCCTACGGCAGACAGCAAAATACAAAAGCTGAATTTTGCATTTGCCTACAAAAACAAAACAAAAAGCCTTTTTTAATTCTGCATTTGCACAGCACTTACTCTTGGCCAACCTGCCCTTTCCTACCAGAGTGGTACTCTTTAAAGGGAAGTACAGAGGTGGGAAAAGTGGACTGAGTGCCCTTCCAGAGTGACTTGATGGGTGTCACCAACACCTCCTTCTCCCCACTCTGTCTACCCTGTCAGAAAAAGGAAGTGGACATTCCACATTGGCCAACTCTTCCCTGCCCTGCGCCCGCCCATCACCGCCACTTGTACATGTGTGCTTCCACTCCCGCTAGAAGGTGCTCGTCTGCCTAGAAGCAGCCGAGGGAAAGTGGAGCAGTAAATGTGGTGCGGGTTCAGCCTGACATCGCGCAGGTCTGGCATCCCCGTGACAAGAGGGAGGAGGACCTCCCCACCTCCCGTTCTCTTCTCTCTCCTGCTTCCGGGCCGTCTGGCCGGCATCTCAGTGTCCCCACTTGCTCGGCTTGACTTGAAGAGGAATTTGGGGCTGTAATAGTCATTTTTAAAAACACAACGCCTAATATTACTGTGTAATGCCCAGGGAGTGTTGGTAAAGGGAAACAATTTCCTTCTCGTTTCAATATTTAAGGTTACACAATGCAACTTCATAAAACACTAAAGAGTAAAGTGACTCGTGAGAAGCCCTCATGAGTGGCCACTGTTGTTTTTATTAAACAGTTAAAACTATGATAGGTAGTAAAATTTTCTATTTGACTATTCTGTGCCTTAAAACTATTATATGTTAATACTGTCAAGTCCAGGAATGTTGTTTATCCCCTTTGCATTCCATGAAATGGGAATTGTATTATCGTTTAGACCCTGAGAGCGCTAGCTTCCTTGTGTAGCTCTGAGTGGGCTGGCCTGGGTGATGATGGACTTGGACTTGAGTTGTCGGAAACCAAGTCCCTCAGCACATCTGGCCTCTGTAGTGAATTTCTTCCAATGATTCGTTTTCCTCATCCTGTGAGCCTTTTTTCTTGAGTTATCGGACGTTTCCCATAAACTTCCCTCGGCTCAGCTCCGATTTTTATCTGTTTTCTGACCTTTAAAAAAAGTATTACAACAGTAGGAAGAGTGAGAGTCGGCAAAGAGGTTGTCTCACGTAGACTTCGCCCCTCTCTGAGCCTCACCCATCAGCTGGCCTTGCCCCTTCCTACCCCGCAGCCTTACTGTTCGCGATGGTCTCCAGCAAGCCAGCGTGTTCTGCGGTTTAGTAGTAATACCAGACTCCGTGCAGAAAGGAGTCTGCAGTTTTGTTTTCAGCCTTTGGTTTCGTTCTTGAGTAAAAATGTTACAGGGTGCATGTCTTAGACCGTGACTAAGGTGACCGTGTTTTAATTCTATACTCAAATCTGCATTTCTGCTTCACTGACTTTGTTTTTCTGTTTTCCTTTCCTGCTCACACTTTGGACAGGACACTCTTTGTTCCCCTACCGACATCCTTCAGCTAAACCTCAGCGTTAAAGGAACTGTTGAAACCCTGCTTTCTCTTGGGGCGCAGTCAGAAGAACCCAGTTTTGTGTGTCTGTCTATCCAGCTCCTGGGTTTTGTGGCCTTCTACTGTACTGTCATGTTAACTCTCTGCATGCTTTACTACTGGATCTTCCCCTCTAGCTGAGTGATGCCGTCCGGTGCCTCTTCCGCCTTATTCCCATCGGTGGTAAAGGGTTGTTTCTCATTCAGAATTATTTGCATATACGTGCTTTTTTTTTTTGTCCATCAAAGAACCGACCAGTAAAGGTAATCAGTCCTTTGCGCACATGTCCAGATAAGCAGCCCAGTGCTGGGCCCTTTATTGGTAGAAACAACATTGGCTCTTTGGATATTTGAGAGGTGCTGACCATTTCGTCTTGGGCTGGTTCCTTGGTCAGAGTGCCCAGTCTGCGGGTCCTGTTGCTTCTGAGCCCAGTGTGCACACTACTGGAGCTGACTCTCGTAGGTCAGGCACCTGGCCAGACCCGCCAGGTTTGCTGTTTTAACTGAGACTCACTTCTAGAATCCTATGTAGAATTTAATAATGGAATTTGGGTAATTTCCAGTATATTAGACTCAAAAGGTGAGCTTGTATTGTATAGGCTGTTAGAGAGGAGAGTATCTGAACAGTAGCAGGTAAAAGATTGAACACCAGCCTCTGTTCTGTACCCAGTAGACTAACCGCTAGACCTTAATGTGTGACACTAATAGATACTAGGTATTCTCAGAAATGGCATTTCTGAACATTTAGCAGACTCCTACACTATGCTAATAAAACTGGGCTGCAAAACTCGAGTATGAAGGGAGGTCGCAAGGCCCATAACATTGCCAATTTGAAATTTGACATTCCCATTACAGGATTCAGCTGGGGCCGTCTGTGCTGGCTCTTCTTCATACACTGTCCCGTTTCCGACAGTAGCAGTGCCTGCCAGCGCTCCTTTGGGGTCTTGAGTCTGTTTTGTTTGTAAGGTATCTCTGATGCAGTAATCTTTCTCAGAGTTTTGCGGCATTTGGCCCATTGAAGAAGCTGGCTAGCAGAGAGCAGACAGACCTGATGTCCTTGGCGGTGCAGGGGTAGGAGTTGTGCTTTCTCTGCAGCGTGCACTGCATCCCTCCAAGGCGGCTGGAGGCCGGCCTCTAGGAAGCCCGTGTGCCTGAGAGCACGTCTGAGGGAAGGCTTGAGCCCGAGGACAGGCCAAGGGACCAACCTCCTGGGAAGAAAGATGGCTCTCCCTGCAGCATCACACTGAAGTATGATTACAGTTGATAGCAAAAATATTTCTACAAAGTTACTAGTTTTATAAGATCAAAAGATGGCAGTTACTTTGTTTTTGTCAAAAGTATTTTTTAAAAGGGTATATAAACACAGGTACCAATAACTGGCTCAGAAAGTAATACTTGTTATATTTTTAATATCCTCTGATTTTTTTAAAACTTCCTAGTGCCACAAGGTAGTATTAGTGAAAAATGAAACCAAGTGTCTTGTTTAATAACTGTTTGAGGAAACTTCACAAATTCATAAAAAGATTCCAGTCTTTCTATTCCATTTCCCATGAACTTTTGGAAGCCCTTTTTTTCGGTGGCCCCATAATTCCACTTTTGCTTAGGAAACAGGCCAGGCAGGTGGTTAGTTACATAAATGCTCGGCTGCTTATCACCAGGCCTTCTGTGGGAGAGAGCTGTGGCCAGCTGCTTCAGTGTAGCTGGGCGGGCAGCGGTGGGAAGCCATTGAGGCCGTTCTGCTCCGCCCTAGGGGTCACTGTGAGCCCGTCAGTTGGCAGCAGTAGATTTTGAGGGGGTTTTGTTTCATCTTTTGTGACAGCACTCTGTTGTCTGAATATTTAGTCTTAACGGTTAAAGATAGAGGTAGGTGTTATTCTTAAGATTTGACTTGCTCGCAGACTACCAAGGAGTAAGCAAATAAGTGATGCAAACACAATAGATGTATGTACCGTCTTTGCACAAACGTGTAAAGACTTTCCTTATGGGATGCTGTTCCGGACTCAAATTAATAGCTCTCCAGCATCATCTGCTCTGTTAACTTTAGAATATGAAATTCTTTACTTTTTCTGAGACGATTTCTTTAGGAACAATTCTGTCATTCTGAAGGTAAACATTCTGGGCCTCCCAGAAATGATCTGGAGGGGAGCGCTCTGGGCTGTACTCAAGCATCTCTCTGGGGCCCCTGCCTGCGGGGAGAAGGGCGGCTGCTGCCAGGGTTAACTAATGCAGACAGTCTGAATGTGGGCATGAAACCGGGGTGCATCTTAAGCTATGTGCTTCCTAAAATGTTCTTTGTTGCAGACTAGAGCCACCTGTAACTTGGAATCATTTGTCTCTCTTTCATCGCCTGTCTTGACAGATCTGTTAGCCATTTGTTTATTGAGCATGAAAGGTGACGTGTTCGCGCCACAGCATTCTGTTCTCCCTTAGCTGTTTGCATGTATAAGAATATGCACCTGGCCATTTCCCAGTCTCAGAAGGCTCCGTGTTCTCTCCGTGGTATTGCTGAATGAAGCCCACAGCCATTGGGACGTGCTCATTTGCAGTGGATGACGGTACCACTCACAGCGCTGCGCTCTGAGTGCCAGCTACCGTGTCTAACTCATGGTCATGGGTTCCTCAGCCACTGGCTTTTCATATGTCAGGTGATGATTATGAGGGGAGAAGGAGGGTTTATTTTGTTTTTCAGTTTTGTGATGTTTCTCGTATTTTCTTTTTTGTTTGTTTTTCTGTTACATTGTCCCATTTCAGGAGCAATTATGTTTGCCTCTCCACATTTTAGAAGAGAAAGGTTTGAGCCAGGTGGCAGTGACGGTCCAGGCCCTCCTGGAACTTGCCCCGCCCAAGCACCAGCAGCACCATTTCCCTGCTCTGTGAGGACCGGCTCCCGGAGCACGGGGGCGGCCTGGCCCAGGCAAGGACCTCCAGGACATCAGGATGCTGCTGCCGGCCCCCTGCTTAAACAAAGCGCTTGTGTGTTCTCAGAAGGGACTGTCCCCATGATTCCTAACAGGAATGTTTTGCTTCATTTCTCCATTTTCGGGGAGGTTATATCCGTTTCCATTGGGGTTTTATTTTGTTTTGTTTTCAAATCAAGACACCATTGGTTGGTTTTCCCAAATGAGCTGAATTAATGTGTTAAAAATCCCCAAATGGGCTGTGCTTTCTTGGAGAGGGCTTATTTCATACACCACAGAGACATTTGTCAGAAGGCCGTCTAGCTCTCTGGTGGCACAGCATGCTTTATTTTATTTTATTTTTTTAAACTGTTTCCAAGACCTATACAGTCCACTGGTTTTCAAGCTTGGTCGTTCATCGTTAGAATCTCTCAGAGCATCTGTTAGCACGCACACTCCTATTCAGTCCACTTTCGGGCCAGGCCCGAGAACCCCACTCTTTCAGGAAATAATACAGGTATTTTTCATGTAGTAAAGACCACTATTCCAAGCTGGCGATTGGATTGTTTTTGGAGTAACGAGGTGTCTTTTTTTTTAAGTCATGTTTAAAATCAAAAGTTAGATTATGGCTACTTGGACTATTCTTTCAAAGGCAAAACAAAATAATGCAGAAAGCCCCAGGCTTCAGATTTTGCATAGTAAAACATTAGAACAAATATTATATATAAGATAGTGTCCTAGGCCTCCCTATAGCTGCTGGCTGCCACCACCACTTCCTCATCCGTGGTCGAGAATGGTCCGCTGCATCTGGGAGTGCTTGCACACAGTAGGCTTTGCGCTGCACACCTGATGCCAAGGCCGGGAGCTGACCCACTCTGCACTGCAGCCTTGACTTCGAGGCCCCCTGCCCCCAATGCTGCTCCTCACCCTGTGGATGTGCTCCAGGCACAGCAAGTTAACTCCCCAACTCTAATGGAGGATGACACAAACGAAACAAAAAAATAGAGGAAAAGCCACGTTTCTTCAACCTTGTTCAGGTAACTGCCGTTTCCATGGCTGAAGTGAAAGCGCTTAGCACAGTTTGAAAAGCATTCTTGTCTTATCAACAAGTCCTCCATGGAGCACCACTAGTGCCTTAGGTGCAGGATGGGGGGGCTCTCAGACACAAAGCCGGGCCCTTCGTTCAACCTGAGCCACTGGAGTCTCCTTTCCTCTTCACGGAACCTGTGGGTTGTCCCTGATGGCGTCTGCCGCTCTCTGCCTTCGGAAACCCCGCACTTGAAGTGCTGGTTACTTGGTTTAGTTTTTGGATATTCTTCACCAATGTGAATTTGGGCATAAAATTATCCCTGTTTTTAATCATCTAAATCTTAAGTTCCCAAATTCACTTGGCTACCACTCCTTTTTAGAAAAGAAAATTAACTCAGCACACTCCTGGCAATTAAAAACTTTGTCTCAGAGCCCATAAGCCAATATAAAATGTAGGTACCTTTGAAGGTACCTGCCTTTGAAGGCCCTCTGGGTCCTGCCAGCACTTTGGGAAACCCTGATGTAAAGGGAGTGCCTAAAAGATTTGGATAAAATTCATCTTAATTAAAGCAATGTTTTCTCCTTGTTCTAGCCGAAAAACAAGTTTATCAGAACATTTTGTCCATGTTTAAAATTATACAACAGCATCTGAACTCAAAAGCCCAGTCTCTCGGGGCCCTCAAGGAACAAGTAGTTGTAACCACGTCAACAGTGTCTTATGAGCGTTTGGAGCCAGGCCTCATGATACTGACAAGCCCAAGTAGAACGGTGTCGCTTACTCAGAATTTAGCTCTATGTGTTTTCAAATTGTAAGTCTCTCCTTTTCCCCTCCCAGCCTCCTTTCACCCTTTCCTCCCTCCCCCAAGTGAACTTCAGCCTCCGTCCAATCTCCAGATCATAGAGAGCCACCTGAAATGCAGCTCAGTAAAAGACTAGTCGCCACTTACCATGCAAGGGATCGGTCCAGAAGACATTATGTTACGCAGTATGTGCAATGTTGGGCACTGATTTCCCCAGAGGAGTAACTGGAAAGTGAGATTATTAGACTTACTTCAAATTGCACTTAACATGCAGGAAACATTGTGTTTTTATCGAAGTACTTCAGATTCTCCCAATGCAATATGGCATTTGATTTCTTTGACTGCTGCTTCCAGGGGCCATGGTGGAAGGAGAGGTTGTTTGTTCGATTGGCCACAGAGTAGGGAAATCCTTAGGAACAGACCACTTTTACATGCATCCTAAGAGCTGATCAAGGAAGGTGCGTTTTCTGACATGCAGCTCAGCAACAACCAAATGTGACTCTGCTGATGTGACGGATGAATTGCAAAAACTAAGCGCTTAACTGGTTACAGAAATGAAGGAAAACCCGGATACATAGAAGCCTTTTTATATACATATTCCAGTGAAGTGGTTTACAGCATATTTTGTCTGAAAATGTTGTAAACATGTAATTAGTTAAGATTTTTTAAGCAGTCATATTTGTATGTCTGTAAATATATTGCATAAGTTCTAAGTATAAATATGTCAATATCATGTGTTAATTAATTGCTCATATGCTACATTATACATTGTTATTAAAATAGCCAACAACTTCAGTAGCATGAAATAAAGGCTGACTTGAAAATACATAACTAAGGCTTGGTTTCTTTGTCAAAAGTGAATCAAGGAAGAGGGGATTTAATTCCTTGAAGGAATATCGGGAGAAAGTGGGTCCGCACAATTGGTTTTGCCCTTTATTTGGAGTTGGGATAATTCATGGGAAAACGAGAGATAGAATGGTGCTCAGAAAAGGCACACCATTCAGGAGGGAAGCGTTTGTGCCCTGGACTATCTTGCTCTGATGAGACAACTCTTTTCTAAGAACCTGTCCGGCACTCGCTGGACATTTTCACGTCTTTTCTCTTAGTTTTAATATCCCATAAGATGGGAATTGTTGAGTAAGCAAAGCAGGTACAGACCCTATTGTCTTACTCGTTGAAAAATGTCCAAACTAGCCTTCCAGAGAACCTGTGCCCACCCTCCCCCCAACACACACACCCATGTTTATTATTTGTGGGTTGTGTATCCAAACATTTCTGATAATTTACTCCTATCAAGTCCGTTCTGACTTAAACAGGGCAGGCTAGAACTGCCACCTGTGAGTTTCCAAAATGAACTTTTTTTATATATATAACATTTTTATTTTGAACAACTAACTCAGACAGCAAAGTAGAACATACACTAAAAGAAGAGTTTGGAAAGTGGAAACCTGTTAAAGGCGGGGTTTTTTGTTTTGTTTTGTTTTTAATGCAAACAACACACTCACCCTACTTACAAGACTAACTTTTTACAGGAATAGAAAACCTTTTTCCTGAGTCGTAGCTAGTGGTTTCAAACCGTGTGGTTAGCCCAATACATTACCACTGAACCACAGGGCACCTGATGTAAATAGGTAAGCAGCTTATAGGGTAAGTCCCATGTCGTGCTTCCTGCCCTCCCTTAGAAAAGGAATCATACAAATCTAAAAGATAGACAGAGGCCAGAATTTATTAAATATTATGTATATCTTACAAATCATTTCTATTGAACCCATCTCTCTTGCTTTAGGAGCAAGAGCTTTTTGACTGTAGAGGAGTAAGAATCTGAGAGACTGCAGGAATAACGAGAGATAATACATCTTTGTCACTAAGCCTGGGGACATTTCTTTTTGGTGAGAGTATAAGGCTGCTAGAAACACTTATTCCCAGCATAATTAAATCAAACTATGAGGCAGCCCTCAATCGATAGTTAATCCTCATTCAGGGCTTGCGCATGAGCATGACAGGCCAATCGCCAGTTCCTGCCTAGGCGTGTCCAAGAAGAACCTGCTACCGATGAGCACTGTGCTAGTTACAGATGTTTCTTCCTCCCAGTTTTCATTCCCAACTCTCAGAGGAAGGACGGGAGCGCGCGGTCACTTCTTGCCTCTCTGCTGCTTCTTGTCTTTGCCTTTCCCCTTGGAGTCCTTGCTGTCGTCTTTGTCCTTCGTGGGTAACTTGAAGGAGCCAATTTCATTCCGGACCACCGTGCCTCGCCACCAGGCTTGGAGCTGGAAGAGAGGGGGTGTGAGTGAAACGTGTCCCGTCTTCCCCCATAAGGGAGTTCATTGTTTTGGATCAGGTGGCTTCTCTCTGGATGATGTTCTGTGGACACGGGTGGAGGCCAGGCTCAGTCCAGCTGAGCAGGGCCCAGAACAGAAGCCAGGGGCGAGACTGAGCGAGCCCGAGAAGGCCCACTCTGCCTTTACCTTAGACACCTGACTTCCCTGTATGCTGCCCGTTATAAACTCCTACGTTGGCAAACTGTCTGATCCAAGAGGAACGCATGTTCTTGAGACCAAGGCAAAAGCGATCACCTAGGTAACTTCAATGTTGAGACTTCCTGGGGGCATTTCCTGGCTTTAGTCATTAATTAATACTTCTCGTTTAAAAAAAAGGTTTTTTTTTAGATAGCTCTCTTCAATATCTTAGTTTTCAGAACACCAGTCCTGAATAGTCTGGCCTACTAGTCTTCGTTAAGATGGAATGCTAAATAAAGTCAGTTCTTACACTGTGGTTCTGAATTGAGTCATCCAGGCAAGTGGAAAACGTTAATAGAAGCTCAAATAACATAATTAGACATCTAAATTTCTCCTGATTTGGGTTTGGTCTCTGGTCCTGAATGCCCTTTCTTCATCGACTCCCCAGCATACAGGCCAGGCTACAGTTGCACAGTAGGGCTCCAGGGGGCTGCAGTGGCCAGGTGATGGTTACTTTTGCATTATTGCTTGAAAATACTTCCCAGTATATTTGTCTGCCTTATCATTATCACTAATAATACAAGTTCAAATAAAATCCAAACACCTCAACACTTTTTTCCTGAACTTCTGCTTAACACTTTCCAGCTTTTTAGAAAATAAGCTCTTATCAGAACCCAGGACAATAAAACAGACCATTCTGTCAAGCACTATTTTAGGTTAACATTTGACTTTTGGGCACCACGTTTAGGTTTTGCTTCTACGGCTAACTACCCCTTTTGCCCTCAGGTCAGGAGCTCGGGCCTAACTCTTTTCCTGCCCTGGGCACCATGTTGGCAAGTCCCGTCACATGTATTCCTCAGTGTGAAGCCAGCCCTGGTCCTACCGGGCCCATGGTGCCACTTCCGGCTCCCTACCTTTATGACACTCCTTAGTTCCAGCTCATCCTGTTGTATCCTCTTCCTGCTCTTCTCCTTTTCGAGCCGATCCTCAATGATGACTTGCTCATACTCCCTTATCTACGAAAGCAGGTTACAGGTGTGTCACAGGGCTCCCTTAGCTAAGCTACAGGCTGGCCAGCCTGCACTTTCCATCTGTATCTAGAATCTAAAATTTTAAAATACGCCAAACCTAGAGATGAACCTAAGAAAAGGCTTGTGGATACCCAGTTTACAAATGTTCACATATTCACATGTCCCCAGTATTTTTTTTAGTTTGAATAATACAAGTTTTCATAAGCATGCACTAATAGCTCAGTTATGTGATTTATGACCCCTACATGTGGTTAAAAAAAAGTGTTGGGATATACACATACAAGTAGCAGACATCTTTTTCAGAAAATCAGGAAATTCAACACTTCAGCAATGATGAATTTGTAATGAGGAGCTTTGAAGAAATCTATATTTATAAATGAACTTCCGAGACCATAAAGGCATAGTAGTAACAGTACCTCTGCCCACAAGGCTGTGGGTTAACTAACTGCCTTTGTGTAGCAAGAGTGCCTGGCCCAGAGTGAGCACTACGTGAGACGTGCTAGCTGCTGCAGCTGCTGTTCCTTATTATATAGGAGCACTGGCACGGATTAAAAGCAGTGTTGCGCAGCTGTTGTAAGTTAGCTACCACTCACTCTTCAACAGGTAGTGTGGCACTATTGGTTGCGGCTCTACTTCCTTACCAGCTTTGCAAGATCTTGAAGGTGTGCTAAGTCACTGGCCTTCGTAGCTTTGAGAGCATTGAGCTCATTCTGTTTGGTTTCTGTGTCCTTATCAAATTTCTCCATCCAGAACTCCAGCTTCTCTTCAAGTTTCTGTTTGGAAAGAACATTAAGCACAGCTTCCAGCAGGCACAGTACAACGTGTATTTTGTAACTCAAAACTCAAACTGCCATTGATCCATGCTGGCTCACAGCAACCCTACAGGACAGGGTAGAACTTACCCCTGTGAGTTTCCCCGGACTATTTACAAAAGTGGTTTCAAACTGCTGACCTAGTAGTTAGCAGCCCAATGTGTAACTGTAAGGATCCCATTACATTAAGATTGAGAACAAGAAACACTCTCTACTGATATGACTCAGAATAGTGGCTACTACTTGGAAGCAGGGGCCTTTTTAAGATTGGGAGTTCCTGAGAATCTACAATTATTTTCTGTATCTGGGTCCAGGCCATGGTTACATGGATGTAATCCACTACCCACACACTGCTCGTGAGGTTTCCCAAACAGAACTCCACAGAAACAGAATGCTTTTCTCCTGTGGAGCAGCGGGGTTCCAGCAGTCAAGCACTTACCCACTGCACCACCAGGGGTCCCTTGTGTTTGTTATTTTAAATAATGAGGTCTGGATCAGGGATATGGCAGCAAAGAGGAAAGGGAGGTGACAATTCTGAAGGATAAGTGGCCTCACAGAGTAAACAATCCTGAAGAGAAAACAATGGGATCAACGGTTGGGAAGGGGACATAGGAGAGGAGGAGGTGGGGAAAGGAAGAGGGGGAGCCAACACACCAGGGACAAGGGAACAACAAGTGATCTAAAACTGATGGCTGGAGGGCGTGGAATGCTTGGTGGGGGTTGATCAAGTGCAATATAGCCGAGAGAAATTACTGCTGAGAGCTGAATGAATGTCGAACATGATAGTGGAACAAGAGAAAAGTAAAAGAAAATAGAGGAAAGAACTAGGAGGCAAATGACATTTGTAGAGGTCTAAATACAGGTACATATGTAAATATATTAATATATAACAATAGTGATAAAGGTCTATGTACATATATTTTTATGTTAAGTATGAAGGTAGCAGGCGGACATTGGGCCTCTACTCAAGTTCCCTCTCAATTCAGGAACACTTAGTTCTAATAACCTGGCACTCTGAGATGCTCACCTTCCCAACACAATCACTGAAGGCAAAGTGGGTGCATAAGCAAATATGGTGAGGAAATCTGATGGTGCACGGCTATCAAAATATTTAGCATATGGGGTCTTAAAGGCTTGAAGATAAACAAGCAGCCATTTAGCAGGGAAGCAACAAAGCCCACATGGAAGAAGCACACCAGCTCATGTGATCATGAGGTGCTGACAGCATAAGGTATCAGGTATCAGAAGACTCAAAACAGACAACCATTTTGATGCAAACAAGGGGGCTGGAGTGGAGACCAAAAGCCCTTCTATAGACAACTGGACATCCCCTCACAACGGTCACAAGAAAGGAACGAACAAGTCAGCCAGAGTTCAGTACAGCACTGATGAAACATACATTTCTCTAATTCCTTAATGCTTCCTTGCACCACCACCCCTCTACTGTCACGACCCCAGCTCTCCCTTACAAATCCGGCTAGACCAGAGCATGTACACTGGTACAGATAAGTGCTCTGGACACACAGAATCCAGGACAGATAAGCCCCTCAGGAACAGTAATGGGAGTAGCGATAACATGAGGGTATGAGAAAGGTGGAGGGAGAAAGGGGGAACCAATCCAAATAATGTATAACACCCCCCCCCAGGGTGATGAACAGAAACATAGGTGGAGACAACGGATGGTATAAAATATGAAAATAATAGTAATTTATAATTTATCAAGGCTTCACGAGGGAGGGAGGGAAAAAAGAGTTGATACCTGTAGTGTTAAATTAAAAATGGCGCTGGGGAGTGAGTGGGGTGCCAGCCCCCACCTGCTGCTTGAACTCACTGGTTCAGTAATACTACTTCTGGGTTCAGTAATGCACAATTGTACGGTTGAGATATATAAATATTATATTAAAGTCATCGAGAGCATGAGAGATAATACAATAATACAGTCAGACATATTACATGGTAACATTGCTCACCTCCGCCCCGCTTGGTGGTCCTCGTGGGGGGAACCTGGCTGCCAGAGCAGGAGCCGCCTCCCTCTTGTCCACCGCCCTCATGGGAGCAGCCCTCCTTCCTCAGCCACCCTCGGCCAGCCACCTCTTGGGAGCCGCCTTATTTATTGCTAACCACGCATCATATTACTTTAGGGGGATACATCACAGCATTATGCATCACAAAGAAGGGCAGTACAATTCATCTTTGAACAGGTTTGATCATTCTGGTGTCTCATACAATAAAGCAGGCAATTACTATCCTAGGAAGCATGCAAGCCCCCCGATAGCAGATAACAACTTACGTCATAGAGAGGGGTTGTAACATAAGCAATACAAGCAATAGGAAGGGGGTGACCTAGGGGTGAACGTGCAATAGTAAGAGGAGGGAATAGGGGGGCATGTGTGGCAAGATAGTAGCCTAAGCTTAGTCATCTTAGAGTGGTCCCGGGCTTGCCTATGGGTACTGCTTCGAGGGAACAATAACAGAAAGGAATGGGCCCTATTTGTTGTGGGATAAGCAGTGGTGTCTGCTTGATCTAGACAGCTGATACCTCTCAGTGAGAATGACTCCCAATCCATTCTTGATGGTTGATGTTAGGGAGAATAACCTCTGATCTACTTTCGCTGCCTAGTGAACAATTATTCTCAAGCTAAGTCTGGCATATATTTTGGGGAGACAATTTAAGAGAAATCCTTCTGTTCCTCACAGATACCAAGGGCTCAAGTAGAAAGAAAATGTTTTGAAAAGGATGAGGGCAACATATGTACAAATGTGCTTCATACAATGGATGTATGGATTATTAAGAGCTGTAAGAGCTCTCAATAAAATGATCTATTAAAATTTTAAAGAACAAACAGCAGGACTTTGGTAAAATGTTTCTGTCTTTTGTTTTGCTTTTTTAAAAAGAAGCAGCGGCCTTGGAGGGTTCTAGCTGGCAGCACTAGGTCGTAGTCCACAGGGTGCAGCGTCTCCAGCTGCTGGAAGATCATGCACGTGCCCCCACGTCCATACCCGCCGACCTAGCCAGGGTGCGCTGTAACCCAGCAAGATGAATGTGGCAGCTCCAAGACATGGAAGGGTGCTAGCCAAAAGTGCAGTTAGGTGAGTAACACGTAACATATATTAGCAACAAACAGTGATCTGGAACTGCAATAGTAAACGGGCCAGTATAGGCTCGCAGGCAGCACACGGCTTAGGCTCAGATCCCAACTCGGCCACTCAACTAAGTCTACTTGTAAGGCTCAGCTCACTTATCCATGAATCAGAGATAAGAGCCTAACTGATAGCACCATGACATGACAAAGCAGAACAAAAAATATAATCCATAGGCTCATCTGACATACATACAAACTTTAAAAATCAATAGATCCAATGAAGCAGTCTATAAAAAAAGACTTGATGACCAAGTAGGATTAGCCCAAGCATTTAAAGATGATTCAACAAGGGAAAATTTTAGCAAGGTAAGACTGAAAGGAGACTCCCTTAGTTGGAGAGCGACTATCTGCCAGAAACCTAGAGGAAAACCTCATGCTTCTTGTAGTTTGTCTCCAGATGTGCCAGTGACTGGTTTATTGCCTCTCAGCTCCGTTCACCCTTCATGCCCTGCCTTATGAAACTGGATGCTGTGTAGACAGTCTCAATTGCCAGCTGGCACAATGCTAGGCGTTGTCAGTAGAGGGTGCAGGAAGGACATGGTAGGAGGGGTTTCTCTCCTCGGTTCAGGTGTGCCTCCTTTCTGATTTCAGGGCAGGCTGCCAAGGGTATGTGCGGTACACCCAGGGAGTAGTATGGCCTCACCACTAAGTTTGACTACAGCCAAGGAAGGAGATCCTTGTTGGCTGACACAGTCCCCAGTTTCTCCATTGTTTGCCTTTTCCCATCATTTGTTTCAGTAAAAGTATTATATTTGAAATTGGAGTCACCACCTGATTATATTTACAACACTCAAGGGCCATTCGTCAAGATACTTCTGCATAGGCTGGACAGGTGAGCCTCATATTATCCTTGCTATCTGGGCAACAGAAATACAGGTGAGTGCGTTTATGAACAAATCTGTTATTCTCTCAAAGTTTCAGAGGCTACAGAACATCAGCACTAAAGGGAAGACGGTCTCTCTTTTCCTCTCTTTCTCCTTTCCTCTCCCTTTCTCCCCCTTTCTCCTCCCTCTCTCTCCACCATTCCCCTCCCACACACACACTCACTCACTCTCTCTCTCTCTCTTTGGAAGAAAATCCTTGTCTGCGTCACTGGCCCCAGCATTCCTGGGTTTCTTGGCAGTTCTGCAGGTCGGTGAATTATTTAATGGTGCTCTTCTAGCCCAAGTCTCTAACTCCCACTGAATGACCTTTCCTTGCCTGGCCACATCTGGTAAGAAAGTGGGGGGAGATATGATAGGAATCACCTGGGAGTAATTGGGTCTAGGCCTCCCTGCAGTGCCATCCCTGCATGTAGAAAGAGCCCTCTGAGAAGCAGGGAGAGGGATCTCATTACCAGCAAGAGCCAGGGTGGAGCGTGCCTTCTGGACCTAAGACCTCTGCCCACGAACCTCCTGGACCCAGAAGACAGTGACAGCCTCAGAGGAGCAGCAGCAGAACCAGGAGGCAGAGCGGGAAACAGAGTGGTGGCCTTTCCACTCCAGGGAGCAAGGCAAGCTGGGCGCTCTTGTGTAGGAGGCTGGCTTGCAGAGTGCCTCTGGGCACTGAATTGGTGGTGTTGGGCTTCCTGACCCACAGAAGTGGATCTGAATGCCTGTGGGCTGAGGCTTACAGAGTGGGATGCCCCTTTGGACATTTATTAGAGGCTTGAAAGAACTTTGTAACGTGTCCTGATACACAACTATCCTATGTATGGATTGTGATAAGAGTTGTATGAGCCCTTAATAAAACTATTAAAAAAACAATAACTATCCTAGCATTTCTCACTGGCATAACAACTGGGTAACTTTCTTAATAAACTTTTTCATCATGAATTTT